AACCAAAATGAAAAAAAATCATTTTTATTGAATTCGATAGATAAAATATATTTAAAAAAAATAAATAATTTAAATTGATACAGCTTATTTCTATTGAATCAACTATCAATATCATCTGAAATGAAGATATCAATAGTGCTAATATAAGAAAACTTACTTGATTTTACTTTAATTGATAAAAGAATCTAAGAGAAAAGAAATAAATAATGTAAATAAAAGAAGACGTATTTCTATATAATCAAAATCGATCAAGTTATGTATGATGCGATTTTTCAACACGAAAGCACCACTACATATCGAAAATGTGTTTTCAATTCTAAAGGACGCAGCATTTATAATAATAAGTATTTAATTGCTTAAACGTTTCAAGATATTGTTATGCGTTTAATTAAATGTTTAAGCTATTAAATACGTTCTGATTTAAACGCTATGCCTTTTAGATTCGAAAATATATCTTCTTTATAATGATGTCTATCTGTTGAAAAAATCATGCTGCAGATCATTTTTTGATTCGATTAAATACATGAAACTTCTGAATTTTAATTATTTGTTTCTTTATTTTAGATCGTTTTCTCTATTCAAGTAAATTCTTTTTAATTGAAATTACTTATTTATTGTAAATCATCTTATGATTCATATTCAATAGATCAGTTAAAGAATAAAAATCGATTCTATATGAACTGATAAAAGACAAATCTTTATTTAACATGGATATTTTTTCAGGATAGACGAGGAAGGATAGGGAGGCAGATCTTTCTTTTCCTTTCCCTTGTGTGCCTATCAAGACAATTGACTATGAAAAAATAGGATAAAATTTGGTATAGAACGTTTAAGAAAATCATCCATTAATCTTATAAGGTTTAAAACTAAAATTGTACAAAAATTATACGGTATAATTTTATCAGAAACAATTCCAGGTCGAAAAATCAGATAGTAAGACCAGTCACAGATTCTTGTATGACCATATCAGATCTTAAACTCAAATCCTATATGATCATATAAGATCATACGAAAAATCATCTTCTCAGAAATCTTACATCAATACAGATACTAAGTTACGTACCAGATCGAATAATATGATCTTGTATAATTCGATAGTTCGATTTCACTACATTTTCATCGCCTTTTACAGCGATTCATACAAATCAAACTTCTCTTCTTCATAAGTGATCCAAGCGACTACTTGAGTTTATTTATAAGCTATATCGTAGTTTTCTAAGAACCTAAATACGCATACCTCGCAAATATTTGAATTTACCGTATATGGCAACATGTACATTTTACATTGTTATTCGTCCCATAAAACTGTCATGAATATATTAACCTACGTATACCCTTACGGGTATACTACTGTATCGATATCCTTTTGAGTATATCATCCTACCTATGCATGTAAGGGTATAGTGCTATCTCTATTATGATTTCAATATTTTAATAAGGCAACGGTTTTAGAAGCTAAAATTTTTAGTGTTTGCATGTATCATTTGGGGCTATATACAGGGAAAGTTTCGTTAAAGTCCATGATATCGATTGAACGCCATGGCCCGTTCTTAGGGTCATCCTTATTGTGAAATGGCTTCTATGCCTATGCATTTTAGTTATTCTAACACATGGATGCCTATATCTATCTCTCTTTATCCTTCACCTATATTTTTACACCTATACTGGTATGACAATATCCTTATCACTATGCATTTATATCTATAGCGTCATGATTACAACCTTCAAGTAGTGCTCTTTGCGCTTTCACTCATGCTGTTATATTATTAACTTACTCTTATTCCTTTATCTATAGTTGTTTATGTTCATTTTAGTAGTTGCACCTCAATTGAGCATTGGAATATTATAGTGTCCTTTCGAAGTATCATTTTATTTTCATGTTTATTCGGTGCTATTTATCACTATGCAGTCTTAAATATCTATGCCAAAATCGATGGCCACTTAATAGGTAAAACTTTCTTCTGCTCGTGTGCGGTATATTTGTGTGTGACGATATAAATGTATGTCTTGTATTTTAATAAAAAGAACTCGTGTCTGAAGCTTTCGATTCTAGAGGAAAATGTTCTTTAAAATTTAAAAGAAAGCTTTCTCCATGCTGCCAATAGTACTGAAATAAGTCAGTGTTCTACCTATGCAGCAATAGAAAGCATTTTTGTTTTTGAAGTCAAATATCATTTCATCACTTTAATAATATCAAACATGAGGCTTTTCAAGAAAACTTTTTTGTTCTTTATATATCTTGGTATCAACAACAATTTATTTATGATTTTTCTCATAAGAGAAAAAACACGTCAGATCATAAAATCCCAGATAAGATCTGCAATATATACTGTTCTATGTTTCTTTGTTTAAGAATCTTATATGATCTGATAAGATCTGACAAGAATCATTCAGTTGATCCCGGTACGTTTCTTAATCTTTAAATCTTGTAAGATTTTTGCTGGCATCTTACAGTCAGAATCTGATGAAATCTTGAAAAAACAAATGCGTACGATCGGACGTCTGTTTTTCCGACCTGGATTATGATCTTATAAGATTATATAAGATCTTACAAGGTTCGAATAATCAGACTTTGCAAGCATCTTAAAGTAAACTATTTACACGATTTTATAAGATTATACAATATGAATTTTACTGTGCCGATATTGATATCAGCTTCCGCTGATCTTTCGTGTTTCTTTATCCCCTCTCTTTCTTGCTCTCTCCTAATTAAGCATGTGTTGTATATGAAGTAGTCACACTCGTGGAGATACGAAGTACTTCAATAAATATCATTATCGAGGTTAGCGGTAATGATGCTTCTCTAGTTTGTCGTTACACTTGCAGCATCCGATTGTCAATAAGATCTTGTAGGATCTTACATGATTTTGGCAAAATTTTTTATACCTGAGAATGTTTCATTAGCTGATTTCTTATTCGATCGAAAAATTATTTAAATTTGCTATTGAAATATGAAAGATATAAAAATAACAGTAACATTCAGTATCTGATAATCATCCTCAAAGCACTAGCATGATAAATCAATTTCTTCTCAATAAAAATATTGTTTTTTACATTTCTTAATTTCTCAACATAAAATGTTACTATCGATATGAAACGTTCAAGTTTCATTTTATGAACACAAAAAATGTTGAATTCACTTTATTTTATCGTTCTATCTCAGGAATATTGAGCATAGCATGTTTATTTAGAAAAACTATAAGAAATTCTAAAATAGAAAGAAGAGCATTTAGATTTAATGAATATAAGCGCTTTTTCTTATCATGTTCAGCTCAATAGTAATATTCTTATTATTGTTAATCTACTCAATAAGATGTAATACAAATCATTTAGTCGAATGGTCTCCATGCTCAAAAACATGTCATCCTGGTTATAAATATCATATTCGATCTGATGATCAATTAATTGAATTACGTAGCTGTTTTATACAAAATCCTGTGTGTATCAACAATGAGTATAAGAAAATTAATGAACAGAAAAAAATAATTCAAGAAAATCGTCGTCAATATATATCTAAAACATTAATTCAGATCATTATTTCGCTTAGTATAGCCATTGGATTTACGTTAACAATATCATCTATATCTTTTATGTATCTTTTTCGAGATACATTTTCAATTGATTCAAATTATTCAATAAAAACTTTTGAAAAATAATATAAATATTGTAAAATTTCTATTTTTAACAGACTAATATCGATATTTGATTGATTAAGAATTCAAAAATTTGTGATTCAAACTTGAGTTTGAGTATTTTGATAGACCGAATTGCTTTCACGTCATACATTACTGTTATAATAACAAAGATTTTTTGACAAATAGAAACATAAGAGTTGATGCATTTATCGATGACAGTAGCTGAATTTATTGTAACTTTTTCTTTCTGTCAGCAATGGTTGAAAGTTTTCAATGACTTTTTAAAAGTTTTCTTAATTCCGAAAAATTTTAAACATGAAAAAGAAAGGAGAATATGATCATTAGAAACTTGATAAGAAAATCCTAAAATATTGATCGTAGATATTAAAACCTTTCAAATATCTAGTATGCTATTTTTATGTTCAGGAAGTGGTAACAACTTAAATCATCGACGATAGTAACGACTGGGTGGTCTTTTGTGAGCATCAGTAGCAGCGGTTCAGCCGATTGGCTTATACCTATATTGACAACATAATATAATTTCCCTAATGTTAATACTGTTCAGGAAATAAAAAAACTGCTGTAAAAACATAAGCATAATCTTTGACATGTTTTGGATTATGCAATATGATACTTCTTCTTAGAAATAGTTCTATTAATAAATAGAATTTTTTTCTGAACTACTTCTTATAATTTGTTCTTTATTCTTCCATATTAATACTCATATGTTTAAAAATATTATGTTTAAAGACAAGAAGAAAATATTTTGTTATTATTGATAATTTCAAGATAACTAAATTTGAACTTTACTAAGTCAAGTGTAAGATGATACCATCATCTTGTAATATTGTTCATATGTATATCAATACATGTTTTTTTTTCAAATAGAATTAATCTGAAATTAAAAAAGAACGTATTCTAAATTGAGTATTATCTAAAATATAAAATTCATCAATAATATTATATAAATATAAAAAATTTTCATTGTTTTAAAAAGTTTATTATCGATGTATTTTCTTTTAAAGAAAAAGAAAAAGTATAATTTGAGAATAACACTTCATTTCTCGTTTCTATTCTTATCTCAGCTTGCTGAGTTAATCGACAAAAAATGACAATATTTGTTACAGTGAGAAGGACGAAAAGTCTAACAAAAAACAGAAAACGAAAATGACACTTCTTATTTTTCTTTGTCTGTACTTCTTCCCTTCTCTCATTTTCTTCTCCATTTTATTTTCTCGTTCGCAATACTTCTTACATCGTTCTCATAAAATAAAATATAAAAGAAGAGTTGCAAGTGTAATATTATCGATCGTGTCAGTGTGATTCGTTTTAAAAATAAATATATATACATTGATATAAAAAAAAATGGGTAATGAACAACAAGGTGGTTCAAGTCATCATTTTATTATGAATACTTCAAATGATGAAAGGAAACAACAAGATAGACAAAGTCCTCCATGGACAAACACTGAACGAGCTCCTATCATGAGACAAGTTTCAACAACAACAACAACAACAACGAAAAAACCTGGTTGGCAAATCGTACGGGATATGTCAATGAATATGTTATCGAGACAAGGAACGAAGTTAAGTTACAAACAGGGTAACTATTACTGTTTTTTTTTAGTTGTTGACATCAAACAATGTATGTCAAACATTGATTTCTTTTTATATAAATATACTTGAAGAGCTTTGTTTATCGTAAATTATTATAATAATATCTGTCAATCTATTTTTATATTTTTCGTCTAATAAAATTTTTTATTTCAGGTTCGACGACTAATTTAATTAGTCAACGTTTTCTAACAAAAAAACATTCATTACATGGAGCATCGAATGTTCCAAAACCTGTACAATTATATCAAACACCTCGAATGCCAACAGAAAAGGAAGCAATTCAAGTATTTAAACAAAGATTGACACATAATTTTAATCAATAATGTTTGTTTTTTTTCCTATATGAAAAAAAAAGGTTGCTATTGCGTATGAATTATTATGTTCATCTTGTGGAGGTCCTTGTATTGGTAATTATCTTCGTTGTCGTGTTTGTACTAAAACATATCATTCTCAATGTCTTTTTGAACGTGGTTATGTTAATGATCAATCATTTTATTTACCACGTCTTGCAAAACAAGATTGGAGTTGTCCAGAATGTGTAAATTACTTTAATATTTTAAATTCAAACTTTTCTTTCTTTCTTTTAATTTTAATTAAGAGCGATCTTACTCAATTACTTCATCAGGATGAACTTGATAATTTAATTCAAGCATTCGAACAAATTGATACAAATAAAGGTTACAAAATAAAAAAAAATGTTTAATTTTTAAAATAAATTCGAGATTTCTTTTCAGATGGTTATATTATTTTAGAAGAATATCTTTCACTTAAATCAAATAAAATCAAATCAAATGATTTGGAATTATTTATTCAACATAATCATGATTTAGGAAAAAAATATTTTAGTTTAATGGATTCAACACAACAAGGTGTTGTTTGTTGGTCGGATTTTGCTCTTTTTTATAGTTGTAAATTAATTGCTGCTAAAGATAAAGTAAGCGATGTTTTGTTCTGTTGTTTAAATTTCTATGAAAATTATTTTAAGTTTGAATTAACAAGAAAACTAACTGAAAAAGAATTGGTTATGGCAAAAAATCTTTTTTTTAAAGATCTACGAAAAACATTTGATAATGATGGTAAAATAATTATAACAAGAGATCATTTAAAACAAGTTCATCATGACCTTATTCTAATACTCGAGTATCTACAAATTTAATTATTTTAATGTTAAAAAAACAAAAAGAGAAAACAAAGAATTTTTTCATTCTAGAAAAAAATATGGTATCGAATTTATTGATACAATTTTAGGCTATGACGAGTCTATTGAAGACATGTCTAAGTAAGATTTAAACTTGAAATAAATTTTTCCTAGTTAATTTATATTAGAAAACATTCTGTAATGAATTGGGGAGAATTTCTTTCTGAAATTGCTCTTCTTATTTTATTAAATCGTTCGAATGATAATATCAAACGTAATCAATCACGTCGTGCAACAATTCCTCCTCATCTTTCAAATGCATCAGTTGTTTCACGTCCAGAAGTTTCTTCTACCGGAATAGATTCACCTAGTCGAGTAACATTGTCAAGATTAGATAGTACTCTAGGAACACCAATGTTACCAAATATATCATGTGATGAATCATTTCGAAAACATGCAAAAATATTAGAAAAATTAAATAAACAAAATCAACAAGAAGAATTAATAAGAAAAAAAATGGGCGCATCGATGAATTTTACTATTGTTGAAAATCTTGATGAAGAAGAAAATATTAATTTACCAAAATTAAAACTTAATGCTCGAGATGATCGAAGAGCAATTACTGATCCATGGACTTCAGTTAAAGAAATACAACAATTAAGAAATAAACCAGTACTTGTTAAAACAACTCGTATTAATGTTATTTAAAACTTGATTTATTTTTTTTATTATCGTTTTTTTTGCAACTTGCAATAGATGTCACTGGTACAAAATCTGCTTATTCTTTGTTTTGAATAGGACTTGTTTGTTCAGAGACCAATAGAAGATCTTAAAAGGACCAACAATAATTCATCTAAGTGATTTACATTCATTTGCTGTTCTCTTGATATATAGTCTAAAGTGTAAGAGTTTGATAACTTTTCATTGAAAAAGATTTTCACAAGGTTTTCGTTTAAGAGTATATGCAAATGTATCAAAACATAAAAATACATAATTGGATCAAGGCTTGTATTTTTGATGTTGTTTTTATTTATTATTTATTATTTATGAAGGATTACCTTGTAAACCGAATATTACAATAAGATTTCTAGATACTACAAAATCCGAGTTATGTGTAGATTATACATATGAACTGTTTAAATAGAGCTTCTATGCAAGTATCTTCATTATTATTTTCTTTTAGTAAAGTGAAATTTATAGATTATGATATCTGAGTTCAATGATAAGAATAAGTATCGAGATAACAGGTTACTATCGATAATATTTTTTTTTGTTTTTTAAAAAAAAAAACGATCTCATATACCCGTCAGATGTGTTTAATTAAAGGTTTTTTCTCATGCAAACTATCATACCTTAGTGGAATGAATGATGATTTTTTTCTTTCTCCTTTATGGAAATGAATATCTGAATAATAATTAATCATTTGTTCCATAGAAAAATAAGAACTATTTTGTATCGAATATTAAACACAAATAAATGTCTTTAAGCATTAGATAAGAGAACAACGTTTAAATTAAAAGCCAATAGAAGTGAGAAAAAAAGATTAGTAGCATATGCTGCACTAATATTAGTACCAGATATATAATATTCTTGAAAGCGAGAAAAAAAAACAATGCAAACGAATTTTTTTTTCGTCCTCTGAATAAAACCATACGGTTTACAAGAGACATTAAGAATATTATTTCTCATGGCGTTATACGAGACAATCAATAATGAAACTATTGGCCTTTCCAAATTTAATCAATCGACTAAATCAGGAAACTTCTTTGTAACTATTTATAATTCAATAAAAGATCTAATTGCAGCAAGTGAACAGGATGTTTTTACAATAAATGGTAAGATTAAAATTTTTTGTTAAATAGACTTTCAAGATAACCTATTAGTCATTAGTTAAACAAAAAAATGCTTAGTTTCATACCAGTCAACACTTTTTTTTTCTCGTAGAAAAAGAAATAAGTCTCTTGTGTATATCGTGACAAGTTATTAACACTTAATGATTCAAAGGAAATCGGTACAAAAAATTTGCTTTCTTTTACGCGCATCGTCGACTGTAATTAGCGAAACCGTTACATAGACATTTACTATTTTAGATTATTTTGTACATATTCTCTCAAATCAAATTATATATAAAAAAAAAGACTTTCTTTTTTTCTAATCATTTTCTTTTTCCAAACATTTCGTTGAATTAATCCGATATAGTTAGACTAAATATATTTCTAAATATATATATTATAATGTCAACCAGCGGCTTAGATGCGGAAAAAATTGAATCAAATCAAGAAGAACGAACGGCAACTGCTCATCAAGCTGATTCACTTAATTTACTTATTTTTACAACACTTCTTGTTATTGTTGTTTTAACAATATGGATATTTAAACGACGAAATTTTCGTTATTTACATGAAACATGTCTTGCATTAATTTATGGTAATATATTAAAGAAAATTTATTTTCTATAAAAAATTATTTATTTTATTAGGTTTTATTATTGGAGCTATTCTTCGTTATACAAGTACATCAAATACAAAATCATCTGTATTAAAATTGACTCAAGCATCTCTACTGAAAAATGGAATACCAAATTGGATTTCTTTTGAGTAAATATCTTTAAACAAAAATAAAAATTTATTTGATTTTTTTTTTCTATTATATCTATAGAGATCAAAATATGTCAGCAACATATTTATATGCTTTTCAAGGACCATATCAAAAAGATACTATACATCTTGAAGAACATAAGGTGTTTTTTTTTTGTTAATATAAAAATGAAATTATTATGTAAAAATTTTTGTTTTAATGTTTATTAGGTGATGTTTAATTCGGAAATATTTTTTAATATAATTTTACCACCGATTATTTTCCATGCTGGTTATAGTATGAAAAGAGTATGTAATCATATTAAGAATTATTCTTTTAACATTTTTTTTTGTTTCGTATTAAATAATAGAAAAATTTTTTTCGTAATCTTGGAGCTATTTTAACGTTTGCTCTTCTTGGTACAACAATTGCTTGTATATCAACAGGGTATTTTCATATGTTTTATTTTGTTGATATTAAATTAAATTTTTCTTTTTTTCTTTTTTAAGGATAATGATATATGGTTCCGTACATGCATTTAGTAGTCTAAGAGGTTATTTTTCATTTACGGATTCACTTTATTTTGGTGCCATAATATCAGCAACTGATCCAGGTAAGATTTAAAATTGAATAGTTTTTTTTAATTTTTATTGAAGATTTGTTTTTTGTTTTTTTGTAGTAACTGTATTAGCAATTTTTCATGATTTAAATGTTGATGTTGATCTTTATGCAATTATATTTGGTGAAAGTGTACTTAATGATGCTGTTTGTATAGTTCTCGCTCAGTATGAAAAAGAATTATTTTTTATAGATTTAAGATTTCTTTTTTTTTTTTAATTTTTAGATCAATTGAAAAATATGTTGCTGGTGCAATATTAGATAAATTTGATCGAGGTCTTATGTTTAAATCATTATATAATTTTTTTATCGTATTTATTGGTTCATTTGCTATTGGTTCAGGCATGGGATGTCTTACAGCATTAGTATGATTTTTTTAAGAAATTTTAATTTAAAAATAAAATTTATTTTTTGTTTTAGATGACTAAATTTACATACATTCGAGATTTTCCACTATTAGAAACAACACTTTTTGTTTTGATGTCATATAGCACATTTTTGGCTTCAGAAGCTGCAGGATTGACAGGTAAATTAAAATCCTATGAAAATAGATATAAATGTCAAATAGTTATAACTCCATGAGATGAGATAATCATAGATACATGTTTAGATTGAACAGATTTCGTACTCAAATGATAAAAATTTGTGCTGAGAAGCCGTGAAAATTATTTTTAATTATGTTACAGTCAAGAGATTAACTTTATCTGATAAGAATTGTTTCAGAAAGTTTCGAATTAACAATATAAAAGTAAAAATGATATTTACGCTATTGGATAAAAATAATACTTTAATAGGTTATCTTTTTTTTTTTCTAATCCGCTATACAATAATCCTTGTGTATCGAAACTTAAGAGTAAGATATAATATATAAAGAACAACAGAAGAATTTTATCAGCATTTTCTTTTTATTCAGATAATCATTAAAATCATATCTCTTCATTTATGTATCGAAGGAAAATTTAGTCAAATCAAATAACGACTAGAGAACATTTTAGGATTAAACTGAATCTGAGAAAATTTTTAGTATAACAAAAATAAATTAAATTCTCAATTAATAGAATACAAACAATAAAACGCCAAAACTCGGGTAGAGAAAAACGGAAATTTTCCAAAATTGAAGGAATCGCTGGTTGGTTAGGATCCAGATCCAAGATCTTCTCAGCGAGCGCTACTCTAAAACTAAGAATCCATTATGACTTAATTCTTATGAGACCACTGGCAAGATTGCCTAAGAATTGTGAAGGTGTGTTAGCTTCCGAAATACAAACAATCGCAAAAAAAAAGGTATTTCATACCTTCGAAATGATTATCAAATACGGATTTAAAAAATTTTCTTGTAAGCACTGTGACTATACTGTAAGTTCCAGTCTGAAAACTCCATAATACACTAATTCTAAAATGTTTAAATCCAACGGGTTCTACTTAGAACACTCTGGTTTTATACATGAAATTAACTATTTAAAATAATATTCATAAAATAGGTATTGTGGCTGTACTCTTTTGTGGTATATTTCAAGCACATTATACATTCAATAATCTCTCTCAAGAGTCAAAACAACGGACACGTGATGTATGTTTAAAAAAACAAAAATTAACTTTCAAAAATTAATTATTTTATTTTTAGTTATTTGAATTATTTAATTTTCTTGCTGAAAATTTTATATTTATTTATATTGGTATAACATTATTTACATTCCCGAATCATAAATGGGATATTCGATTTATTATTATATCTCTTGTAAACACAAATCATGTTTCATTTTTATTTACAAAAAAATTTTATGTTTTTTTTTTGTTTTCATTTTCTGTTAGATGATTATTGCATTAGCTCGAATATTATGTGTAGTATTTTTATCATTCTTACTTAATTTAACGCGTGATAATCCAATTGGTTGGCGTTGGCAAATGATGATTATATTTTCTGGTTTACGTGGTGCTTTTGCTTTTGCATTAGCTATTCGAAATGTTTCAACACATGCTCGTTCACTTATGTATACAACAACATCAATTATTGTTATATTAACTGTTGTATTTAATGGAACATTAACAGCACCAGTTTTAAAATTACTTAAAATTCGGTACAACAAAAAAAAAAAAAACTCCAATTTCTTTTGTAAAAAGAGTTTGTTTTGTTTTTGTTTTTCTTAGAACAAATGTTAATGAAGAAATTGAAACACCTTCTGCAAATGATAGATATCGAAACATGGATGATAATAATACTGTAAGATATATTTATTAATTTTTGAATCATTTCTTTTGTTTTTTTAAAAGAAGAGAAATAATGAGATAAGAGAAAAGGATTTAATCTAAAAAAGAAATTCAAACCATTTTTCAAATAACATTTTCAGAAAAAACGTCGTTCGTCAGATGAGGTTGCCTTATTAAACAATGAAGATGATGATAATGATGAAACAGCAATAACAATTGATGTTCAACAGAGTAAATCAACAAAAAAAAAGGTATTTTTTATTCTTTATGCATATCAAATATTCTTGCTAAACTTAACCATACAA